AAGCTCACGACGAGCTCTCCTCCTCCCCCTCTCAGCTCTCTCCATCTAGCCTCTCCCTCCTCCCTCCCCCTCCCTGGCGCCCGTCCTCTCCCGCCCTCCCTTCAATCCCCGCCTTCGCTCTGTCCCGCCCCCTCTTCTTACCTCCGCCGAGGTTGGCTCAAGGATTCACGCCGCAACATTCCCGCCACGAGTCGAGACCTGGGATGCGGCCCTGCGAACGAACAACTGTTCACTTCAGTCCTCGGCGAGACATGGCCGGTCGGATGAGACCCAGCTCTCATGGAAAGAGCCTGGAAGGGGAGAGTGGCTGGAAGGGAAGGGGGCACAGAGGTAAGGACGGGAGCACCACGTCGGCTGCCATGGACTCCCTCTACCCTACCCCGTCCACCCGATTGCCTCTTGCGCCTCCCACTCCCTCCTCCATTTCCTCCTCAGCCTCTTCCTCACTGCTGCGCCACGCTTCTTATTCGTATTATTGTTCTTCTTCCATCATCATCCGCATCATCAGCAGCAGCAGCAGCAGTAGCAGCATCATCATCCTCATCATCCTCATCATCCTCATCATCCTCATCATCATCATCATCATCAGCATCATCATCATCATCATCAGCAGCAGCAGCAGCATTATCATCATCATAATCGTCATCGTCATCGTCATCATCAGCATCATCAGCAGCAGCGGCATCATCATCACCATCATCATCAGCATCACATCATCATCATCATCATCATCATCATCATCATCATCATCATCATCATCATCATCATCATCATCGTAATCATCATCATCAGCATCATCACCATCATCAGCATCATCAGTGGCAGCATCATCATTATCAGCATCATCATCAGCATCATCATCAGCAGCATCATCAGCATGAGCAGCATCAGCAACATCATCAGCCTAATCAGTATGATCATCATCGTCATCGTCGTCGTCATCGTCATCGTCATCGTCATTATCATCAGCAGCAGCAGCATTAGCATCATCAGCAGCTGCAGCATATTCCTCCTCACCATCATCATCTCCTTCATCATCATCATCATCATCATCATCATCATCATCATCATCATCATCATCATCATCATCATCATCATCATCATCTTCATCATCATCCACATCTTCAGCATCATCATCATCATCATCATCATCATCGTCGTCATCGTCATTATCAAAATCAGAATCACCATCGTCAGCGTAATCGTCATCATCACCATCAGCAACATCATCTTCAGTAGCTTCCTCATCATCGTCATCAGCCTCTTATGTTCTCGTCCTCATTATCATCAGTCTCCTCCTCCTCGCCATCAGTCAGCATCCTCATCATTATCAGCATCATCAGCATAATCGTCCTCGTCTTCATTCTCATCATCAGCAGCAACATCATCATCATCATCACCACCACCAACACCACCAACACCACCACATCCCTCATCTTCCTCCTCCTTGGATTCCTGAGGCCAACGCCCTTCACATGTGTGAGAGAGAGCACTTTAGGTGTGGCAACGGAGGTGGCCACGTCAAGCTTTCCAAGTCGCCTACGCCGCATCGGGGATGCCAACAGTACTCGAAGTCAGCCGTTCAACCACATCGATCCTGGGACGACGGGCCCCGCCAGGATCGGCGCAGGTGGATAATCGAACTTATTCGGAGGGAAAGCTGATCAGGAAAGACAGGTCGAAGCGGAACCGATTTGCTCGAGGCCTCGCCCTGCAACACAACGCCTGGAGCATGAAGGAGCCGCGAAACAGCAGCCGCGTGAGCTACCAGGGAGCCCGAAGCACGCATGGGCGGATTCACACGTGGAGCAGTGGCACATCCTGAGGCTACGCGACTGGGCACACGCGCTGACGCCCGGCCTCCCCGGCCATGGAGGGGCCGAAAGACATCTGGCCACACGTGTACCCAGCGACCTCCTCCTCCTCCTCCTCGTCCGTATTACGCGTCTTCGTGTTCGTCGCATTCTTCTTCGTATGGGTATTCGTAGTATGAGTCTTCATGTTCTTCTGCTCCATAATCGCATTATTCGCATCAGCTGCCTTCTTAGGATTATCATTATACCGCTTAGTAGTATTAGTATGCTTGGCAGTCGTATTATTCTTCCTGTGGTGATGAAAATTAGTCGTCGTATGATGCGTAGTACTGTTATTAAGATTCGTCTTCGCCTTCGTCTTGGTACGAGTACTACTAGTATCCCCTTTTCCTCTTCTTCATATTACCATTCCTCTTGTTAGGATGGTTACTCTTCGTCTTCTTCTTCTTCCTCCTCCTCCTCCTCCTCCTCCTCCTCCTCCCACCCTCCCTCCCTCCATCCCTCCCTCCCTCCCCTCATCCCACTCTCCCTCCTTCCCTCCCTCCCTCCCTCCCTCCCTCCCCCTCTCCCTCCCTTCATCCCTCCCTCCCTCCCTCCCTCCATCCATCCATCCCCCCTTCCCTCCCTCCCCCCCCCTCCCTCCCCCTCCCCCCCTCCTTCCTCCCTCCCGCCCTTCCCCCTCTCCCTCTTCCGCTTCCTCCTCCTCCGCTCCTCCGCCTCCGCCTCCGCTCCGCCTCCTCCTCCGCCTCATCCTCCTTCCTCGCCTCCCCTCCTCATCCCTCTCCTCCTCTCCTCCCTCCTCCTCCCTCCCATCGTCCTTCTCCTCCTCCCCTCATCCTCCTCTCCTCCTCCTCCTCATCATCCTCACATCATCATCATCATCATCATCATCCTCATCAGCAGCAGCACATCATCACAATCAGCATCATCCATCATCATCATCATCATCATCAACCTCATCATTATCGATCATCATCAATCATCTAGCATTCCATCATGCATCATCATATCATTATCATCATCCTCATCATCATCATCATCATCATCATCATCATCATCATCACATCATCATCATCATCATCACCACCATCGCCACCACCATCATCATCAGCATAATCAGCAGCATCATCATCATCATCATCATCATCATCATCATTATCAGCATGATCGTCATCATCATCATCATCATCATCATCATCATCATCATCATCATCATCATCATCATCATCATCATCATCATCATCATCAACATCATCATCATCATCAAATCATCATCATCAACATCCCCTCCTCCCCCTCTCCTCCTCCTCCTCTCCTCCTCCTCCTCCTCCTCTCCTCCTCCTCCATCATCCTCCTCTCTATCACCCCTCCTCTCTTCCTCCTCCTCCTCTCGCCTCCGCCTCCGTGCGCCATTCTCCCGGCCTCCGATTCATGGCATCCCGCTCCGACGCCTCCGCTCCGCCTCCGCTCCGCCTCGCCTACGCCTTCCGCCTCCTCTCCTCCTCCTTCCTCCTCCTCTCCTCCTCCTCCTCCCTCACTCCTCCTCTCCTCCTCGTCCTCCTCCTCCTCCTCCCCTCTCTCTCCTCCTCCTCCTCCTACTCACCTCTCCTCCTCCGTACTCCGCTCCTCCTCATCCTCCCCTCCTCCTCCTCCTCCTCCTCCTCCTCCTCCTCCTCCTCCTCCTCCTCCCCCTCGCCCTCGCCCTCGCCCTCGCCCTCGCCCTGGCCGGCCGCGTCGTGTGCATCCAGCTTGTGGCAAGTCCTTTTTTCGGATCCCGGCACACCTCTTCCCGAGCCCCGAGGACGCTGCCCTCTCGGGTGCGTGCCTGGGCCTCGTCTGCCCGCCCCACTCGCTCTGGGGCCAAGTGAGCGACGAAAAGCGGAGCTTACGATCGGTGACACAGCGACCTGACGCCGCGGCTTCCGCGGGCCGCCAGCGCGGCACGCCACATCTGAAACGAGGGTGCTTGCGCGCGACCTTCCGTGGGCAACATACGCACATACGTCGGTGAAAAGGACCCCGAGTTTCTGCGTCGCTCATGTGCACACACGAAGTGGCACCTTGCACACTTACGAGCACAGGTTTCGGTGGGTGAGTACGCGTGACAACTAGCCCAGAACAATGTGGTGACTTCCCTTAGAAAGCGCAGAGGGTCTGAAGAAGATCAGGAGTGGAAAATGGGCTCCAGTAACCTACCCACCGTCGCCTGCACAGAGATCTTCTAGCGCGGACATTCCGTCGATGTGAGTCCTGCGGGGTCAGACTGAGACGGGCAAAAGGGATTCAACCAATCGGGAATGCCATAGTTGACGTGGCCAATGGCACACGATCGCCTCACAGGTGCACCTCCTCCGACCAGGACGCCGGGAACTCCACACCCGACATGCCCGCCGCCATGGCGCGAGAAGCATTTTTCAGGCAATCGGTACTTTCCCCATGCCCCTGCTCACGCCCCGACCTTAGATCGGGCATGTCCTCCTACAGGGGCATTTTGGACGACAAATTAAAAAATAGTCAGAAAATATTCAAAAGTACGCAAAAAAATAATCAAATAATCGCCCCCAGAATATAGTTTGACAATTTTTGAATATTCCTCATGTAGAGGGACAGGCCCGATTTAACCCCGACCCCACGAGGAGACCAGAGCGGCGGCGTGGACCAGCAATCCGGGCCTCCGGAGCCGCGCTATCCTAGCCACGCCCTGCCTCCCCCTGGCGCCGAGAGCGGGGGGCAGCAGCCAGTGTGTGCAGCTATCGAGCGCCGATCGTCGAACCTCCTCCTCCTCCTCCTCCCTCATTCTCCTCCTCCTCTTCTCCTCCTCTCCTCCTCCTCCTCCTCCTTCCCTCCTTCTCCTCCTCCTCCCCTCCTCCTCCCTCCCTCTTCCCTCCTCCTCCTCCTCCTTCCTCCTCCTCCTCCTCCTCTCCTCCTCTCCTCCTCCTCCTCCCTCCCTCCTCATCCTCCCTCCTCCTCCTCCTCTCCTCCTCCTCCTCCATCCTCCTCTCCCTCCTACTCCTCCCTCCTCCTCCTCCCTCCTCCTCCTCCTCCTCCTCCTCCTCCTCCTCCTTCTCCTCCTCCCTCCTCCTCCTCCTCCGCCCTCCTCCTCGCTTGCTTCCAGTTGCGCCCCCCGCCCCCCGCACTCATCTCGAGAGTGTGGCTACGACCGCCGCAGCCGCGGCGCCGGGGCGCCTCCCAGCGTGGAGGTCGTCGTGGTGGTCGTCGTGTGTGTCGTCGTGGCGGTGCCAGAGTGCGTGGTGACGCTGGTCCTCGTGATTGTCGCCTGGGTCATGGTCCTGGGGATCTCTTCTACGCAGACACTCCACCTGCAGCTGACCTCCATGAATCACTCGGAAAAAAAACGCCAACGTCCGTCGTTACGCCACTGTCCACGAGTATCGTGGCCTCACGGTCATGGCCCTGGGGGTGGCGCTGCTGCCTGCGCTTCGAGAGGGGGGCCAGGAGGGGTGCATCCGTCCGTCGGTATGCCGACAGCACGGTCACGGACCTCTCTCCTTGGGAGCCCGAGCTTGTTTTGGGGCACCTCAGCTGCAGGCTTCTGTTACACTGCCCTGGCGCACCGAACCACGCGGAGCCATGAGGCCATCGCGACCGAGAGGATCTGAAGCGAAAGCTGCTTTCCATCCACTGGGGCTACGAGACACGCAAGGCGGCCAGTGGAGACTCTTAGGGCTAGTGGCAGGAACCGACGTCGGCGGCCCGCAGGGCTAGGCAGGTGGGGCAAGGCTCGGCCTGTTGGGTCTGTATACCGCCAGCAAGCAAGAACTGGCAGAGGCTAAGGATAGTGGGGACCAGCGTCGTGAATCGACTTTCTGGTGGCACAGAGGGCTGGTAGAAGCGTGTGGGGACTAATCGAGGCTAGTTGGGACTGGTATCAGAAACCGATGCTGGCAGTACAAAGGGTTGGTCTCAGGGAGGAAAGCTAGGAAAGGGCATCCAGGGGCGCACGGGCCTCCCAGCATTAACAAAAACTGGAGTCAGGGACGGACGTTGCCAGCTCAGAGGGCTGATGGGGAGATTGGGAAGGTGTAGAAGCTATCGTCGGGAACCGTCGTGGCGACACAGAGGTCTGGTGGCCAGGCCATGCCAAGGGGTGCCACCACTCAGGGAGTCGCCAACCCCTCCAGAAAACAGACCCCCCTGGACAGCCCCAGAACCCCCAGGACTCCCAAAGACACACAGAAAAGTCCACCACATCATCGACCATCGATACTGCCCTCCTCTGCGATCCTCGGGCTTCCAGGGGTGGTGACCCCCCTACTGGTGGCCCCCCTTGGCACTGCCCGAAGTGGGGCTGGTGAGGCCTCGTAGGGGCTGACATCGGGAGCGGCCAAGAGGGGGAGTCCAAGAGGGGGGGTGCAAATCATGACCGGCGGCATGTGCGCGGCCCAGCGGGGGGGCCAGGGACGTAATGGAATAAGAAGAGGCGCCATGAAATCTGGGGAGATATCATGGCCCCGCCATGATATCCACCCCCCCTAGTCATCACCCCCTCTTTGCCGCCCCCGATAGCAGGGGCCAGTGCCGGGAACCGACGTTGGCGGCTCGGTGGGCTTCGGGGCGCCAGGCTTGTGCGGCTCGGCAGAGCCAAATGGGGGGCCAAGTCGCGAGCCGGCATTGGGGGCACAGCTGGCTAGACGGGGCTGGTGCCAGGAATCGACGTTGGCGGCACTGAGGACGGGCAGGGGCTCGCGTCAGAAATCGCTGCTGGCGGCACCCACGGCTGGCGGGGGCTGGCGGGGACAGATCAGAGGGCTGGTAAGGGACTAGCCCTTGGGGGTGCAAATCTCGTAACAGCACGTCCCGACCACATTTTTGCAAACAGCCCAAAAAAATCAATGCGCCCGCCTTCTGAATGCCAGCCAGCAGCCTACAGTGGCCGCTTCCAGGGCCGGTCCGGGACAGCGTCGGGAACCAGCGGTCGGAGCGGGCAGGGCCGGTGCAGCTACGGGGGGCTGAAAGGGCTAACTCGTGCCAGGGATCGCGTTGGCGGCACGCAGCGCTCGTGGGAGGATACTCCAGATTTCGTAATAAAGGGAGGGGGGTCTCATTTCGGGGGGGGTCTCTTCCAGGCTATCTTGGAGGGCCTGGGGTGGTCTGGGGACGATGTTTTGGAGGGTTCTCCCACGGGGGGGGTCTGAAATGGCTTGTCTTGGAGGGTCCAGACCCCCTCCCTTTTATTACGAAATCTGGAGTAGTCGGGACTCACGCTAGCGGCGCGGAGGGTTAGTGGGGATGGTTGGGGCCCGCGGGGGGGGGGGGGTAGAGGTCAGTGTCGGGGACCGACGTTGGCGACACGAGGGGCTACTGTGGGCTGGTGGGAGCGACTGGGCGAACGGGGTCAGTCTCGGGGGGGTCACACGTGCGTCTGAAGAACAAACTACAAGCCCAAGGAACTGATGGTCTGAGAAGCATGAGGTTCGCGTGGTCCTTATGGTGGTGGTCGTTGTGGCGACAACCACACCCACGCCGTTGCACACGCACGAGGTCGCAGCGTCGAAGCTGGGGGGCGGCATGCAGATCTCCGCCACGCGCTCGCACTTGGCCGCCTATCCGGAGCGCGCCTCCCCCTCGAAAATATCAGGCCGCTTTGCTACACTGCGCCAAGGCAGCATCAACTTCCTCACTCCAATCTCCTAGCTTGGATATATCACAACAGCGAAACAGTTTGATACTTGCACATGTGTTATGTCCCTCTCTCTCTCTCTTTCTCCCTCTCTTTTTATCCCTCACTGCCATGCGCCCTCCCTGTTCTACATCAAGGTTTGTAAATCATTCGCCGAGGAGGTCTTCTATACAAAACAAAGCCTGTTTGCCTGATAGCTTTCATCGCACCAGTCGTTAAATCCGACGATGAGCCAACTTTCAGGCTGCTGCGTAAGCCGTTCCGTTTCCACCTCTGGACCTGGTTGTCGGACGTGCCGCCATTTTCAGTCGACTAGAGGAGGAGGAGGAGGAGGAGGAGGAGGAGGAGGAGGAGGAGGAGGAGGAGGAGGAGGAGGAAGGGAAGAGAGAGTCCGTAGCCATTTTGGCTCAAGTCCGGAGCTGTTTTGGCTCAGGACCTGACCTTACTGGCAAGGGGGAGTTGCGGCCCCCACAGTGCCCCTCGTGTGCCAGGTCAGACGAGGATTCTGGCGTTCTGTGAGCTCCTGTTGGAGCATTCTCTTTCGATTTCTCTCCCTGATGGTGCCAGGCCCTTTCCCTCATGCGCCCTGGGTCAAGGAGGGCGACGAGGGCTGGTCTCTTGCTAAAGGTCGCCGTGGCAAGGCTCAAGTCTCGAACTTTGCATGCCCGTCCTGTGGTTGTAAGAAGAGCAGCGCCAATGCCACGCATTGCAAGCACTGTGCGCACCCTCTTCCTCGGCTGCTTCCTGGTGCTGGGCTTCCTGCTGGTGGGTGCTGGGCTGCCTCTGGCCCCCCTGGTTACTGGCTTGAGTACGGCGTCAAAGGCAAGGGGGCGTCCTTCCAGTACGGCGGGGGCAAAGCTGGTGGTCGAGGGCCAGGTGGCAAAGGCAAGGGCAAAGGCTACTACGGCGGGGACAAGACGATGTGGGACGTGCTGGCTCGTCAAGGAGATTCGCGTGCTGGAGGTCCCGCTGGCGGCCCCCCCCCCTCTTCCCGTGGGACCAGTGCCTGACATCTCAGCGTCTGAGGCTAAGGCCTTGGGCGAGTCGCTTCAGAAAGCGGGAGATGTTGCGACGGCCGCCAAGTACCTGGACATGGCAAAGCACCTGGAGGCGGCCGCGAAGCCCGCTGTTGTCTCGGACCACACGAAGATGCAGCAGGCTCATGCCTTGGTGCGCAAGTTGGAGAAGCAGATGGAGAACCAACTGGGCCGAGTCACGCGTCTTCGGGAACAACTCATCGAAGCGGAAGCTTCGCTTCGTACTTCGCGGGCCCACCTTGACCAGGCTGACATGGACTACAAGGAGACGCTGGCTGCCCTGCAAGGGCCCCCTCAGCCTCTGGAGAAGGCTCATCCGATCTCTTTCAAGCTCGAGGATTTGGTTGCAGGCGACGTGGATTTCGCCAAAATCATCGATTGCAGTCACATGCTGGAGGATCTCACGACCGACAACGACGTGGATGCGGCCGACCTCGAACAGTTCCAGAAGAGGAAGGAGGACCTCTCATCGGGGGTCACCAAGTTGGCCAGGGACCTCTTCGCCCAGGTCGCGGCGCACGCCAAGGCCCTTCGTGAACAGCATGAGGCTCATCGGCTTCGAGTTGTGGCAAAAAAGCGCAAGACCACGGAGGGTGAAGTCGTCGGAGGTTCCCCTGACGAAGGTGCTGCCGCGGCTGGAGCTGGAGCAGGGGCGCTGTCTGAAGGTGCCAAGGGTGCAGCGTCTGGAGCGGGGTCGGCTGAGGCTGGTCAGGCCTCGGACGCCCCGCAGGAGGACATTCGAGCCAAGGTCGACCAGGCTCTCAAGGACTCTGAGCCCCCCGCTGCTTCCTAGAGGCGGCGGGGGGCGGGAATCTGAGAGAGGGGACCCAGGCTTGAAACCTTCCTGGGACCTTTTCAATTTTTTAGCCTCGAGAGTGTCTGTGATAGGCTCCAGGTCTCAGGCCTCTGGGGTAAGACTCTCCAGGCGTCTGCGGATTTTGTTTGGGAAATGTGACCTCGGTGTCTCGTTTGACGCCCCGCTCTCCTGTGCGGAAATTCGGGTGCCCCCAGATAGCCCAGGAGCCTCTCGCATCTCCTCTCTGCCTCTGCCTGGTGCTGTCGGGAAGCAGTATTGCGTGAAGGCTGGTGAAGCTCGAGGAGGTTCTCCAGTCGCACGGTTGCCGCAATCCGAAGCTATTTTTCCTGGTGCTAGCTCCGCCAGGGCCTGGTCCAGCTGCATGAGGCCCGCCCCAGATGGCGAATGGCTTCCAGCGACCTCAGCCCCCACGCCAGCTGCCCAGGGTGCTGCCGATGGCTGCATCAGGTTAGATGAGGGTCTTCTGGTTACTACCGTGAACGCCAATTCCTGGGGTACTCTCAAGAACTTCCTTTCCTCGGCCAAGGCGCATGTGGTTATTGCCCAGGAACATCGGCTCAGAGATCCTGTTGCCCTGGACCATGCTTCGAAGTCGTCCAAGTTCTTGGGATGGAAAACGCTGTGGGCGTCTGGACTACCTGGTGATGGGGGAGGCATTTCTTCGGGAGTTTGCGTATGTGTGCGAGATGGTCTAGGGCTGTTTGAAGCTGCAGGGAATCCTGTTCTTGTTCCTGGTCGAGCTGTGGCCACCATGGTTCATGTTCCTGGGTGCGCTCCGTTCTGTGTCTGCAGCCTCTACCTCATCCACAGTGAAGGTCTCTCGGAATCCAATAAAGAAACCTTGAGGGTCGTTGGGGAATACTTAGATTCCTTGGGATGTGAGTTTATCGTGGGGGCCGACTGGAACATGGGTCCCGAAGTGATTGAGGCTTCCGACTTCGGCAAAAAGCTCAGGGCCTGTACGATTGTTCCTGAAGGTCACACCCACTTCCCCAGCAGGGGCCCTCCTGATCGTTTTGATTTTTTCGTGGTGTCGGAGGCGCTCAGCCTCTGCCTCAAGAGTGTACAAGTGGATGATGACTCCAGCATCACTCCACATCGCCCTGTGTCGCTCCGTTTTCACAGCTCCCTGGGCGATCTCAAGGCTCTTGCCTTCCGCCAGCCCCCTGTGTTGCCTGTCCTCCCTCCTGTGGGACCGTCGCCCGAGCCTGGGGATTGGAGTGCTGCGCTCGAGTTGGCCGAAGAAGCCTTCGGGGCTGTTGCCAAAGGTGATGCGGGCAAGGCTCGCAGGCTTTTGGGCATCGGGCACAAGTTCTGGGCTGACGCGGCCGAGAGAGATCTTGCCAACTCTCTTGGGGCTGATCTCAAGGTTTTCGGCACCCGGGGAAAGAGACCCCAGGTTTACTGGAAGTCCGTGCTGCGCCCTGCGGGGCGGGAAAAGAATCCAGGGTTAAGGTCTATTTCGTGGCTTTGCATTCAGCTACGTGCAGTTAGGTGCTACCTCTTGGGTTCGGCCTTGCAGGAGGCTGGTCGAACGGTGCTCAACTCGATCCTCCAGCCTCCGACGGCCGTGGCGGTGCAGGAGTGCTCTGAGTACCACTCGCTCTTCAAGGCCAGCGCAGCCTTAGCCAGATGCGCCTCTTCCCCTGTGTTGGATCCAGAGTTTGGCTCTGATCTGGACGACCTGATCGATCAGGTTGCTCAAGCCGTCGCTGCTGCTAAGGTCACCGCTGCGAATTCCTCGCGGCTCGAGTGGCAAGAGTGGGTGCGCACAGGTATCGATGCTGGCGGTCGCAACGCGCAGAGGGCTATCAAAGACCCTGTTCCCTGGAAACCCTCCACCACCTTAGCCAGATGTGGAACCATCGTTTGCGACCCAGTGTCTTTACTGCAGGCTGAAGGGGACAAGTTTGCTGCTATTTGGGGCTCTGGCAAAGGCACTGGTGTGAACCATGACCTTCTGCCCCACGGGCGAATTTTAGAGCCTGCCGAGCTCCGAGCTGTTTCCAAAAAGTATCGCACTTCCTCTGCTGTGAGTGTCGACGGCTTCCACTGCAGACATTTCAGCCTTCTCCCCGATGAGGCTTTGCATGCCCTGGCCCTGTGGTTCGCTGTTTGGGAAGCCACTGGAGACTTGCCCAAGCAACTCTCGTGGGTTCTTATGGCCTTGTTGGCCAAGCCGACGGGCGGGTTCAGGCCCATTGGGGTGTTCCCGAGCCTGTACCGTCTTTGGGGTCGCGCCCGTCGTCGGGAGGCCCTCCAGTGGGAGCTCAACCATCCCAGGAAGTACTGGGCTGCTGGAGCCAACAGGGGAGCTGGGGATGTTGTCTGGAGGCAGGCCTTCAGGGCCGAAGCGGGCACTCGCAAGAGAGAAGTGTCGGCGTCCATTTTCTGGGACCTCAGGAAGTACTATGAGCATATCGACCTGAGGTACCTCTGGCAGCAGTGCGAGCTTCTGCACTTCCCGCTGCCTCTTGCGAGACTGGCCATCAGGGCGTATGCGAGTGCGCGCTTCCTGGCCCTTGGGGGCATCATCCAGGGCCCGTTTTCCGTTTCCAAGGGTTTAGTGGCGGGCTGCTCCTTTGCGACCAGCCTCATCCGAGTGTTTGCTATGCGGGCCTTCGACGAGGCCCTCGTTTCGGTTCCCAGGGCCCCTGGAGCCACAACTGATTTCGATGCCTACGTTGATGACCTCAGTCTCAGCTGCACGGGAACAGCTAAGGTTGTAGTTGCCAGCCTCACGGCGGGAGCCAAGGCGCTCCACCGAGCCATCACGACGACGCTCGAGTGCAAGCTGGCCATGGACAAAGTGGGTATGATTAGCAACTCCCCTGAGGTTTCCAGGAAGCTTTCGGAGATCCTGGGACCTCTTGTTGGGCCAGCCTGCTCTCGGGTCACCAACTTGGGCTCTGATTTTACTGCGGGCAGGCCTTTTCGTTCCAAGGGGCGCTCGGCCAAATTTAAATCCAGAACGGCTGCTGCGTTGAGGAAGACCAACAAGCTCAAGGGCCTCCAGCAGGCCCTCGGCCGCAGGAGTCTGAAGGTCTTCGCGGCGGGCCCTCTGGCTGGAGCTGTGTACGGTTCCGACTTGTATGGTATTTCGGACAGGGAGCTGCTTAATCTCAGAAGGATGGCCATGTCCTCGGTTAGGCCTAGAGCGCAGGGCAGGTCCCTCAGTGTCTTGTGTCTTCTTTCGGATGATCCGACGTGGAGGGGTTGCTGTGCGCCGCTCATTCGCTGGGCCAAGGAGGTCTGGACCCTGCATACTCACGGGTTCCCCTGGACCCTAAGCTGGGCCGAACTTAGGGACGGCTGGAGCGCCGTCTTCAAGTCGGATGATCACTCGTGGTCCAAGGTGGCTGGGCCGATTTCTGCCCTGCGTATGTCCTTGTACAGGCTGGGCTGGACCATGCCCAATTTTTGCACCTTTGTGGACGATTTCGGCCGCGAAATCTCTTTGACCCTTTCTTCCCCCAAGCTTGTTAAGGTTTTCTGTAAGGAAGCTCTTTTACGGAGCCTTGAGAGGGAGTCTGGGGACAAGTATGGTTGCGGTTTTAGGCTGTGTTGGGACGCGGTCAAGCAGCTTTTGACTTCTAAGAAGGTTCCTAGCTCCACAAAAGGTTGGATCCGTGCCCAGGCCACGAGAGCTTGCTGGACGGCAAGCGACGTAGCAGCAGCAGGGTACGACTTTTCTGACAAGTGCGCGTTGTGCGGTAAGGACCGCGACACCCTCTTCCACAGGCTCTATGTGTGCCCTGCTGTGCAGTCTGAGAGGGATGCGGTGCTTGACAGAAGTATTCAGAATGAAGCGTTGGAGCTAGGGGCTGATCATCTCGACATGTGTCTGTACCTGTTCGGTGCTTTTAAACATCCTGGAGACTATGCCCCTCCGCCACTGACTGAAGGAGGTACCAGCCTGGATTGGTTTGCTGATTTACTTCCTGACCCCGAAGATCCTGCTGCTGCTCCCTCCATCCCCCCCTCTTCGGGGCTCTGGGGGCACCTCTTTATGGATGGTTCATGCCATCGACATGTTGTGCGGGAATTGTCCAGGGCTGGTTGGGCCGTTGCCATGGTCTCGGGCTCTGGTGAGTGCCTTGGAGTTTTGAAGGGCCCCCTGTGGGCCCCGTGGCCTCAGACGCCCCAGGGTGCTGAGTTCGGAGCCCTGGCTTGGTCCGCTGTTCAAACGGAAGGCCCTGCTAAGTGTTACTCTGATTGCGCGAACGTGGTCCACTTAATGAATCTTGGTGCTGCGGACAGTGTCAGCGCCAGGCGTCAGTATGCGGGCCAGATTATTCAAGCTAGACATTTCTTTGGGCCCAACCTCGTGTCCTTAGAGAAGGTTGAGGCCCACAGAGACGCTGACGAGGAAGGGCTCTCCTCGCATGAGAGATTTGTGCGAAGAGGGAACTTCTTCGCTGACGTCTACGCGAAAGAAGGTGCCAGGCAGCACCCTGTTATGAGTCCGACTGAGCAGGAAGCCCTCGATCATCAGATTACAGTGTCGAGGGCGGTCCTGCTCGCGGGAGCGGAGCTCTTGCCACTTTTGCCAAAGTTGGAGTTTCGTGGTCTGTCGCGGCGCGTTTCGTCGCCAGACCTGAAGGCCCCACTTTTAGAGCTCGTCCACGACTGGTCCCAACAGGGTTCCTCCTGGCGGTGCCGTGTGTGTCTTCGCGGTTCCCGTGCCAAGACTCAACCGCTGGGAGGTTCGTGCCCTGGGCAGTCCCGTTTGGACCAGGGTCTGCTGGAGAGACTAGGCCATCGAGTCATTGCGTTCCCTTGCAGTGACAAGGGCCACCTGTACTTGTGCATGTCGTGCAAGTTTTATTCTAGCGGCGAGCAGGTCCTGGGTTTGTCCCGTAAGTGCGGGCCACCCACGGTGACTGGTTTCAGAAACTTGAGACGGCTCCGTAAGGGACAGCACCCCGATAAGAGGGGTGTTTCGGTCGACATCGACGAATTCATCCCGCTATTATAAATTACAGGTAATTTGCTTTGCCCTCAGTGCGCCTCTGGCTGGAGGGGCAGGCTGTCACCTCAGAGGCATGAATGTTGCATTCAAAAAAAGAGGAGGAAGAGAAGGAGGAGAAGGAGGAGGAGGAGGAGGAGGGGGAGGAGGAGGGGGAGGAGGAACCCCCTCATCCCTCCCGTCCCCCCCCCTCCTCCCTCCCCCCATACACCTTGCCCACCTAACCCTCCCTTCGCTCCCCATCGCACCCGTGTACGCCACCCAGCTCAAAAATTTGAGGTGTAAGTAGGGGGGCAAAAAGTTACCGGCACCACTGCTCCCCAGACCTCTCCTGGATTGCGTTCTGACGACAATTTCGAAGACAATCCAGCCGTGGCCACGAGAGATCTCCAGGACGAGCAGCCGGATCGGTAGCTCTTCCTCCTCGGAGTGAGGGGGTGGAGAGGGGGGGTCCCAGGCTCTCGCAGCAAGACCACGCGCCTGCGTTGGGAAGCGCCTCTGGTCCGCCAGGTAGTTCTCGGCAGCCAGTGCCTCCGACGTGGGTGCAATCCGGGGGGGAGGGAAGTGCCTTGCACAGCTCCTACACCTTGTGGACCCGCGGTGGCAGCTGAAGGGCTGCTTGGGGCTCCTTCAGGGCCACGCCCCACAGTCGTCGATGCACCCACGCTCATTGCCCCCCCGTTTGAAGGGGCCCTGGGACACACAAATAAATACACACAAATAATAGGATTCCCTATATTTTCCTATATTTTCTGGGTTTTTGTCTTCCCCCCCACTTCCCATATTTTCTGGGGAATCGACGATTAATTGTGTCTGTGTGTTTCTTTTCCTCCTGACCGTTGCCATCCGCCCGACCTTCCCTGAGCGAGGCACGGAAGAGCCGCCGGGTGTGCCTCAGTAGCCACTGCAGGAGACGTGCATACCACGCCGTCTCGCCGAGCGCAACTCCCCCTGGGAAGACAGGCACATGCAGGGGGCAGTCGAAAACATGAGGACGTTCGTCGGACTTGCAGGCCATGGTGCAGAGCCCTGGCGTGCTCGAAAAGACCCGACAGCCCTGCAGCTTCAACTGCCAGGAGGCGATCCGCAGAAGTGGACGACCTGTTCGCACGACGTCCTGCCCAATCGTGCGACCCCGGCAGCCCGGCGGGCGGCGCCCTCTAGGGGGATGGCGCGAGGGGGCGGCCGTCTGAGAAGGCGAGGGGCGTCTTGGGAGGCCGGGGCATGCTCACGAAGGCCTGACGGGCTTCTAAGATGGCTTCATAGAGGCGGAGGAGGGATGAGGAGGAGGAGGAGGAGGAGGAGGAGGAGGACGAGGACGAGGAAAGGAGGAGGGGGAGGAGGAGGAGGAGGAGGAGGAGGAGGAGGAGGAGGAGAAGGAGGAGGAGGAGCTGGCTTCTCTAAGAGGCCACCACTCAGAAGAAGCCCGCCCGCCTTCTTGGGAGGCCGCCCCTGAGGGGCAGCGTCAGGGGAGGGGGCGACCGGCAAACAGGGGAAACCTCGAGCTGGAATCGGCGATACATCGCCTACAGATCGGCGGTGGACCCCCGAGGGCATCCGACGGATCCTGGGCGAGAACGGGCCATCGGGCCGCGACAGGTGTCCCCGGCTTCCTGGCATAAGGGTGGAGGGCCCCCCCCCCCTCTCGGAGCAATACCCGGGGGGGTCACCACCAGGGGGGCCGCCACCTCTGCCAGGAAACGGGCCCCCCTGGAACCCCGGAGCCCCCGAAGCCCCCCAGGACTCCCGCGGGCGCCCGAAAACGCCCCGGACCTCCTCCACCCTCGAACCCCCCTCTTCCTCCTCATCCTCCTCGATCCTCGATCCTCGGCTTCCTCCTCCTCGATCCTCGATCCTCGATCCTCGACCCTCGAACCCCCCTCTTCCTCCTCCTCCTCCTCGATCCTCGACTTCCAAGAGACGGTGGCGGCCCCCTCGGTGGTGAGCTCCCTTTATAAGGGCCCGCCTCCGGCTTCCTGGCAGAAGGATGGAGAGAGGAGGAGAGAGGAGAGAGGAGAGAGGAGAGAGGAGAAGGAGAAGGAGGAGGAGGAGGAGGAGGAAGAGGAGGAGGAGGGGGAGGAAGAGGGGGAGGGGGAGCAGGAGGAGAGAGGAGAGAGGAGAGAGGAGAGAGGAGAGAGGAGGAGGAGGAGGAGGAGGAGAAGGAGGAGGAGGAGGAGGAGGAGGAGGAGGAGGAGGAGGAGGACGAGGAGGAGGAGGGGAGAGAGGTGAATGACAAGCAAGGCGCACTCGCGCCATGTCTGACATCCGACCCCCCTCCCACCCATCCCTTCCCATTGCGCTGTTGTCCTAGTAGACCTGGAACGCCAAAGAGGACCCCGTCGTCTTATGCGCAATCGGAGCAAAGCAGCTGCGCACACTGGAGGAGAAGGTGGCGGAAAAGCAAGAGGATGAGCAGGAGGAAAAGCAGGAGGATGAGGAAGGAGGACGACGAGACGAACAGCAGCAGCAGCAGCAGCAGCAGCAGCAGCAGGAGCTGGAGTGAAAAAACGGGAGGTGCTGGAGGACCAGGAGAAGGTTGAGAGTGGGAAAGGAGGCGGGGGAAAAAGGACTCGGGTCCAGAAAAATTGCACGCGATGGGGCGACAGCGCCATTCTGAACGACGGGAGCAAAGGAGCAAAGCGCCGATCCGAAAATGAGGCCCACGCTGCAGCGAAAATATCATTTTGAAACATTGAAGACAATCAGACTGAAAACACATAAAAAAATGTCCCGGCAAAGCAACCTAACAGCGATGTGTAGGAGCATATCTGGAAACACTGCCTGCGGTATTCATGTAAGAGCGCTGTTGTACAATTCTGGTGTTCTCGCAGCCGCATTCGGATTCGCAGTGGCAGTCGCAGCGGCAACATCAGCGGCAGTCGCAATGGCACTGCCAGTAGTTGCAGTAGCAATAGCTACACTAGCAGCAGCAACAGCAGCAGCAGCAGTAATAGTAGCACTAGTAGTAACAGTAGAAGTAGTAGCGATGGTACTAATGGGACTAGTGGCCCCCCTCCACCTCGCCGCCGGGAACGCAGCAGCTCTTCCCCGCGGGGGCGGCCGACGCCTTGCGCACCCGCCCCGCGCACCGCTGCGCGAATTCCCTGTGTTGCGCAGAGAGGCTGGACACAAGCTCCTTGTAGGCGGCAAGGCGCCGCAGGATTGCCTTGGTCCGGATGCCACTCTCGAGCATCAGCAGGTCCTGGTCGATCCTGTTCTGCGCCTCCTCAGCGAACCCTTCCATTGGGTTTGGAAGGCCCTCCGCCTCCGCGATGCGAGTCGCTGTCGCGGCTTCGCTCTCCGCTTGCTTGAAGGCCTGGAGCTCGGCGTCCTGCTCTGGCGAAAACTGCTTGGTTGCCCGTGCTTTCCGGACTTTCTCTGCCAGCTGCCGCTCTGCGAGGCTACGCCCGGCATTCTCCTTCGGGCGGCGGCCGAAGTCTCGCACTTGCTGCATGAGCTCCTCGGTCTTCTGCTTCCGCTTGAACTCCTCGGCCTCCGTCTGCTGATCAGAACAGCCCAGGGCCCGCAGTTCATCCAAAACGTTTTCGGGGATGCGGTCGCGATGGTCCGAGAAACGTTTGGCCAACTTGTTTTCGGCCCGTTCTTGTTCGGACGTTCCTTTATTTCGCTTCGGTATCCGGCCGAACTGCTTCACGTGCTCGACGAGCGTTTGCAGAGGACCGCTCAATGCAGCACGCTGAGGAGCAGCGCTGTTCACTGCCGGAGTCTGAGGAGCACCGCTGTTCAATGCAGCAGGCTCAGGAGCACCGCCGCCAGACCGAGAACTACCAGCATGTCCTGGCATTAAGGTGCGCAGTAGGCGCTGCGCAGTTCCTTTGAAAGGAAATATTCGAAAGCAGGGCTGTAGCCAAGAAGGCTACGGGGAGGCTGATGAAGATGATGAGTCTGTGACGCTGTGAGACCACAGACGCTTGATGACGACGATCTTGAGAGTGCTGCTTCGAGGAGGGAAAGGAAGAAGGAGAGAGAGAGAGAGAGAGAGAGAGAGAGAGAGAGAGAGAGATGGGATCGAGAGCTCCCGGAGGGGGGGGGTGCCCATCCGAGGGAACGGTGCACCCCCCCCCCTCCTCAGTACTGGCGACGCGGATCAAGCTGTTTAGGGAAAGAAGAAGACCCCACCTCCCCCTATCCTCCCCCGCGGCCTGAGTGGACCACCCAGGCCTGCGGAGGACGTGATAAAGGGTCGGGTACCCAGTACAGAAATGAAGGGAGAAAGGGGAGGGAGGAAAGAGTAAGGAGCCTCCCTCGTCCTGCTCCTCCTGCTCCTCCTGCTCATCCTGCTCCTCCTACTACTGCTACTACAAGTATTAGATCTGGCGGAAACGTCCAATGCACGATGACGCCTGGGTCCGCCGTCTTGCCCTGCACGATGACGAACAAAACAAACCGGCAATCGGGTGGCGAGAAATATGACGGGGACATCCAATAAGCAAAATGTGGCCCGAAGAACACGAAGTGGCCTACAGTTGGCTCCGGGCATCCAAAATGTAGCCCGGGAATGAAGTTTTGGGAAGTGGAAGAGAACGAAGTGGCCTACAGTTGGCTCCGAGCATCAAAAATGTGGCCCGGGAGTGGAGTTCTGGGAAGTCGAAGAGCACGAAGTGGCCTACAGTTGGCTCCGGGCATCCAAAATGTCGCCCGGGAATGGAGATCTGGGAAGTCGAAGAGCACGAAGTGGCTTACAGTTGGCTCCGAGCATCCAAAATGTGGCCCGGGAGTGGAATTCTGGGAAGTCGAAGAGCACGAAGTGGCTTACAGTTGGCTCCGAGCATCCAAAATGTGGCCCGGGAATGGAGTTCTGGGAAGTCGTAGAGCACGAAGTGGCCTACAGTTGGCTTCAAAATGTGGCCCGGGAGTGGATTCTGGGAGGTCGAAGAGCACGAAGTGTGTGACCGTTTGCTTAAAACGAGCCCGGCCCTGAGCCCGGCCCTCGCTGTCCGGATGCCGCCCAGACCTCCCTTCTGAGTCATCAGATGCTCTCTTTTCACACAACTAGAAACCTATCAGTCTTCACGTCAGGTAACTATGTTTGAAATCCTGCGCAACAAGAAAGTACGCGACAAGGGTCGAATACCTTCCAGACAGAGTCAGGGGAGAGAAGTGAGCAGTACTCAGAATGTGTAGTTGTAGAGAGAAGAGGGAGAAGGAGGCGGAGACAAGGAGGAGGTGGAAGAGGCAAGGAGGAGGAGCACGGGAGGAGAGAGGAGGAGAGAGGAGGAGAGGGGAGGAGAGGGGAGGAGAGAGGAGGAGCAGCAGCAGCAGGAGGCGCAGGAGAGGGGAGGAGAGAGGAGGAGAGAGGAGGAGCAGCAGCAGGAGGAAGAAGAGGAGGAAGAAGAGGAGGAGAGAGGAGGGCGCGCGCCGCGTGCCTGGCGGGCCAGCCTGAGCCTCCCAACTGCGGCCGCGGTCAGGGGGCGCCGCCGTGGCATGAAGGCGATCAAGCCATACACCCTGCGAAATGCTTAAGAAATCATGGGTTCAGAAATTCATAGTCTCAGATCTTGAATAAAAAC